CTTGCACCAGAAATGCATACATACATTCTAACATCATCCCACAGTGCCCAAATACTACTGTAAACTTCTTCTTTTTTTATGAGGACTGGAAGGTTCTTTACAATCCTGACGTTGTGTATTAGGCTGAACAAAAAGTCAGTCCTATTTACTGTAAGAGGAGCAACATCAGTATGACATATGAATACAAACAAGTAGGAAACTGTAAAATGAAAATCAAACTCTTTAGCCTCGGTTCCACTGCAGGAACTTTCCCCATTTGCCTAAACTTCACTGGTCTTTAGACCACAATGGAAATGCAGATATTGAGAATATAAATGGCTGAATTATTAGCAATGAAAATAATTGTTAGTTGCAGCCCTAATAAGGAATTATTAATCTATTGCATAAATATTTCTGTCAGGTTAATAATAAACCCACTTGTGTTAAGACATGTCAAATGACACAGTGGGTCACATAAGTTTAGATTGGTGTTTCATCTAGAGCTTCCCTGCACTCCATCATGTGTCACAGCAGCCGCAGCAGAGACGGTATTTCAAGGCAAACATACCGGTCTGCTCCACCACAGGGACAACCTATATGCTTCACTGTGCATTATCAGCACAGAAGGGTTACAGGGACAAGAGGAGGAGAAACTGTAGAAACTCTCCAGGTGTCGACCCCTTGACCTCACCAAACGGGAACGCCTCCACACATCCAATAAGAAAACCTCTTATCACAGGCAACGAAGCAGCTTGTTCAATTGACCAAACCGCTAACAGTAACAGTAAAGCCAGCAATCTTTCTGGGAAGCACACCTGTTGCATTTGGAGAAACAGATGGTACGACTGATCGCAGACATTATGCAGACTGCAGACATAGTTTAGTACTGTACATAGAAAAGGCATACCAATTTATGGAGAGGAAATATTCCAAATATGGGTAGCTGATCAGGGTCAACTGCAGCATTTTAAATGGCCCTTATCAGTATATATAAAGAGCAATTATGGATGATTATTTGCAGATACACCAAGAACTGCAGATGATAAATGGGTGCTTCCAGGGCTTAGACACCAGCTAAATCACTGCTGTCCTATACTGACTAGGGTTATAAATTATTTTCATTATCAAATAATGTGGTGATTATTTTCTGGATTAATTGGAAATATCTGAAAATAACTAAATCAATGCAGAAAAACCCAAAAATATTCTTTGTTTAGTTTTGCAAAAACAATCTAAGCCAGTTATATTGCTGCAGGTTATTTTCATTATCACTTAATCTGATAATCATTTTCTAGATTAATTGATTACTTTTGTCTATATAATGTTTGAAAATGCAGCCCAAAAAAAGTTGTTCAGCTGTTTAGTTTTATTAATTAATTGTTCACATAAAATTTGTATGTATTTCACAAAAGTGAATTTTGCCTGATAGAAAATAACCAATTAACAGAATAAACTTTATTTCACTCTCTCAGAAATATCAATCAGTGCCTTCAAAAATGTACAGTATATGTACAGTATATGTTAAAGCACATTTGGTAGCAGCTATAACCTGCACGAAGACATGATAACAATACAGTTATAAAAGCTCTACTCCTGGAAAACTAACCTAAAAAGAAACAAACAGAGAGGAGATTTATCTGAATCTCTCTCACATGCTCACACACTTTTTCCAGAGCTGCATTGTCTCGTCCGTGTAACTGTATAGCCGCTCCAGCTTATGTTCCTGATACACAAGCACTGCTCAGTAACACTACCCCTTGGATAACATGTTCTAGGTTACCAGTCAGTCACACATGCACACACGCAAACACACAATGGCTAGCATCATCCTGCCCCTTCCCTGACCCCATTTCAACCGGGCGTACCTGAAGGTTTTATTGGGCCAACAGTGAGCCGCAAGTCTGTGCGGGCAGAAAGCGGAGAATCCAGATTAGGCCTGAGGTTAGATGGGGACGGGTGCTCTTGGCATCACGAGTTCACATGAAACACAGGAATAACTTCCTCATTGCTCTTAGAATAACCTGTCTCAAAACTATTAGAAGCTAAACATCTTCCACATTCCACTAAAATACAATCAGTCCATCAAACCAGGATCACTGTATGTCATTCTTGGTGTTTTATTTTCCCCTGCTAGAGGAGGAAAAGTTCTTGTCAAGAAAACATGCCTGTCAAAAGAAAGCACAATACAGGTACTTCCTAATGAGAGAAATCACAAGGACTGAAACAACTGAGTGGGTTGTAGCTGTGCGAAAAAGCTGTAATGGTTACAGAACATAGGTCGTTAACTTATATAAAGCGTTATTCAACCCTTTGACCATTCATGTGAACGACAGAGAAAGGCCAAAGCAACAATGGCTACCCTCCTTCAACCTGACTCCAGTCTAAACACTGTTCTTGCTGTTCTGTTATGTAATTGCAGTGCATTGGAGAGAAAAAGGAGGTATTTTTCAAGTGACAGACTTAAACTTGAGGAAAGAAATTCACTTGCTTGCAGTTGCATCAGTTTGAGTGAAAATCTCTGCTTACATTCTGCTGTTGTACATCCTCTAGCACATTCTTGGCGCCCCACACAGCCAACTACACACAAATATAAAAGTAAAAAAAAAACAAAACATAAAAACTCAAAAACACTGTCATTACAAATGCTAAAAATCTGAGTTCCCGTCCAAACCTCTATTGAATTTGCTACAAATACAAGAAAACATAAGAGGGCTTTCATAACTTTTCAAATGCCAGCCTGTGAGCTTTGTTTACATTCTTATTGTGTATAAATGTTGAAGCCAAAGAGGCTTAACTTTCAGAGAACAGTGTACAGTGATATAAACCTCATTCATCTTGTGTTAAGAGGGATATGGGTGTAGCACTTAACCCATGAAAACACAAAGTTTTTGCTTTGAAAACATCCATTGCACTTATCCTTCAAGATCAGCTCGGCACCTTGAACTTCAGGCTACCTGGGTGTTCAGACCTACACAACGTCTTCACCAGTGATCCTACATTTCCATGACTTTGCGGCGCCCTGATCTACAGCACCTTTAGCGTTTGTTTCGCATGCAACACACATCAACGTTAGGTGCAGGGCTCGATAAACAACTCAGACTGAGACCTAAGAAACCAAAAGAGACATCCTGGGGGCTAAAGAGCAGAAGAAAAACTGAGTTAGGTCCAGATTTAGAAATGTGACTTTTTGAAAGATTTCAAAGGGGGGTGGGAAGAAAGAACTAGAAACTAGAGGGACTTTCTGCAAATTGCACAAATTATGACTCTGTCTTTCCCTACTTCCTACCGGCCATACCTTTGCTTGGTGACTATACCCCCAGTGTTTGATGCTTAGACTCTTTGATGCCTCTGACTTGTGGAAGCAAAATAAATTGCCCATTCATGCACCACAGAGAGAGAATTCCTTTGCTCTCACCTAAACAGCCTAAACACACCTTTTCCAGCGGGCAGCCAATCATTTCCACCTCTCTACAAGAAGAAGAAGAAAAAAAAAAAACTCGGATATCAGTTTTTCTTAGAAAAAAAAAAATTACATGGCCACATCAGCCTTTCACCAAAGGAATGTCATCTGACGTCATGTATTTGGGATCGGATTTCTCCTTCTCTCTTTCTCTCTCTCTCTCTCCCCCGAAAAAAGTAAGTGCGTGCATGCGTGTGTGTGTGAGATGTGTTAGGTTATTTTTTCCCCTAGCCTATATTCTCCAACGTGCCCACTGGATCCAGAGCCCACAGCAGGAGGTGATATGTGATTCCCAAATCATAGCCCCAATTACACCCCCCCATCGGCCGCTAATCATGACAGCATGACAATTAACCACTTCCAGTCCTGTTATTAAATAGAAAAAAAAAATCTAGATCTCAAGTCATCTTTTGCATCTTAGCCGTCCAGACCTATATACATGTCACAGCTCCTGTGTCACCCACTGATGAATTAAAAAGGGCTTTTTTGGATATTTTCTTTTTTCTTTTAAGGAGATACGTGGAAGGCAGATAATCGATCGTTTCAAGGAGGAGAGACCAATGCTTGATTTCCACGTCTGCATCAAGAGTGGCTGAGAGAGAGAGACTTGTCTTCCCTGCACAGACAGACACGTAGTCGTTTCTGAGGGGGAGAGAGGGAGAGAGAGGGGGAGAGAGAAAGAGAAGAGAGAGAGAGAGAAGAGAGAGACTGGCTGGGAAGGAATGCTTAGGAATATGCTGGAGTTGAAATTTTTTTTCTTCCCAAAAGCCTTTTTTTTTTTCCAGAATTCTGCAACTGCACACAAAGTCTACGGAAAGTCGCTCTAACACAACACTTCTCAACAGCTATCCACTGCAAAATAACCCCCTACAGTGTCAATTCAAAGATTTCGCAACCCCCTCTGTCAAATCTGACTGCCTCAGCATCTTCCATTCCAAGTTATTTTCCAGCTATAAAAAGTGCTCATTTCCTGATTTTGAGCAGCTACAACGCGACCGACTGTTTCCAGAACGCGAGTTGCGGCGCAATTTGCGCGATTTGTCGCATAAATACGCCAAAGAGAAAAGGTTTTCTCCTGTTGCGCACTCGCTCAATCTGAAGTCCTCGGGAGACAAAAACACATTCTTTCGTGAAAGCGGAGAAATCGAGACCACAAAGAGCAGGGCTCCAAACGCGCAAACCCCCGACACATTCACTCGACCTGAGTGAAGAACTAACGCGTAAATCCCCCCCTCATTGTTTTTGCCTTTTCCCTTGTTGTTTCCAAATAAACGGGACATTTTTGCCCAAAAGTTTCGATTCACCCCCCTCCTCCTCCTCCTACTCCTCCGCAGCAGCAGCAGCAGCGGAGCAGTTTTCCTTTTTCCTTTGCGCTGGCCAAGTGGCCCAGACTGCCGGCGTCAGCGCTCGGATCTCCAAACTCACTCACACACACACATACACACACTCGCACACAGACACGCACTTCTAAAAAACTTTTTCAACATCGACTCCATCGCCCTTCGTTCCCGTTTTCTTTGCGGGGAGGTTAGCGCCGTGAAAGAAGTGTAAAAGAACTCACCTCGCTGCAATAAAATAATCTTCAAACAGACGGGGCTGCGCGTTTTTTTATTCCCAGGGTCCGGTCTTGACTGTCTGCTGGCGCGGCGCTACGCGTACTGCGAGACTCCGCCATGTCAATCAAAACGCGACGCACATGTAGGTCAAAGCCCGCCTCTTTACCGTAGTGCACGGTGCGCACCACGAAAAGTCAAAACAGACTGCTCCCCTTTTACTTTTGTGACAGAAGCAGTCACAGCAGGGTTGTTCAGTCAGTTCGGAAGGACTGTTAGGCGGAGCAGGTATTTTATAAGCAATAAAAACAAGAACTAAACAAGTGATTTTTGGTCATTTCCAAACTTGCTATGAGTCTGTTTTCTGATTCATTAGCCTAATATATATCAATATTAAAATAGTGGTCACTTATAGATTCATTCTGATTCTCAGAACAAAAGCTCAGAGCTGTTTTAACAAATATAAATTTATAACAAATTTTGTATTACCATTTTATTGCCTCAGTGATGAACATTGATCAGGTAGAAAACAGTTATAAGGCTGCAAAGAAACATCAATTTTGACATCCTAAACACCATTTAATAATTAAATAATTTTCTTATTTTTCCATATCTTCATGTATTACACATCAGTTGTGTCCTAAATATTTATATAATTTGTGTCTTTCTGTTCTAAGGGCTTGTCAGCCCAGAAAGGTGGATGAACTCTTCTGCAAATAAGAGCAAGCTGAATCCAGTTTAGGCTGGTTCGCATTTATCTTTCATTATGGCACAGAATATCTTCATACCAAAGCAAATGGCCTGTTCTGACCAGCATCACCATGCTCCTACTGGTCTTACTTACATTGTATCCAATAGCACAAAGAAACACAATTAGGAATCCATGTCAATATTAGAGGGGAAAAAATACATAACATGTGCAAAGTAGTCCGTCCATAGCAGGTTTTGAGTGTGTCAAGTGGGTCAAACCTCAATCCCAGTGCCTCCAAAACAACTTAGACAACAGGCCAAAGTTCCTCTGGTGGCTGCAATGAAGCCCGGCATCCCTCAGCTGACAGGTCCAAGGGTTACAGGTGCTTAAGGAGAAACATCATGATACCGAAAAATAAGAATCAAATCTGTTCTGAAATTGGTGTAAATATGTTTTAGGGTGAGCTACTATAAAGACATCTATCTAGATGTAACACAGAATATCCATTCAACCTCCATGAACTGGATGCATAACAGCACTGTTACATGTATACACAGAGTTGTTTTACCTGGGGAGGAGATTATTTGGGCATGCTGGTGCTTGAAATCAAAACATTAATGCCAACAAGTAATGTCAGGATCAAAGCATTAAACCTGCCAAACATCTTGGTGCCAAACATAGTTTCATTACAAACCGAAATATCCACCATTTGATGAAAGAACCAACTACATTTACTAAATGATTTCTAGTGCATTTTAATGCTAGAACAGATGTAGAAAATCTTCTACAGGAAGTATATTTTTCCAGTCATTAGACAGTGAAACTGACAGCCAACCGAATTTATCAGATTTTGGCCCCAGACTGAAAAATGTGAAGAATCCTTCAGACATGACAAAAAACCTTGGTCCATTTTTAGTTGGTGCTCCTTTCGGTTGCAAGCGACGTAAAGAGTGAGTGCAAACAACACAAAAGCAAGCTGTTAAATAAACAACAAGGTTTCCGTCAGTTATGTGCGTGTTTGTCTCTAACAGTAATCACCCTCTTTCTTTCTGTATTTTCAAGCAAGCAGACTCAGCCAAATACACTCATTGCCCCTGAGTTCTAGATTTCTCTCTACTGGCAGCACAGCACAGCACAACCACAAACACACACACACACACACACACATTCCAGCAACTGCACTAAGAAAACAGCCACTGGTCTAATTCTAAGCCAGTAGAGAAAAAAAATGGTCCTGGATCAGGACAGTGTGCCTGTAAGGAATTAAATTCAATTCAGTTCAATTCGATAAACACTGATCATCCTCAAGGGGAAATTGATGTGGCAGGCAGAAAAATCATGCTCTCACACCAAAAACACAGCTCAAGTTATACACAGTGAGCACAGACACAGTGGAGCCCCCTAACTGCAGAAATAGTGTATGATACTGTATGTACCACTGACACAAACTGGGTTAATTCCAAAATTAATTTGCAGTATGGGCTCATTAATATTTAATTGTTTCATAGTTTATTTTTACTTTTGTAATATCTTCTTTGTTCATCATTTTAGCTTGTTCTTCTTCATACACACACTACAGGTGGATGTACCTGAGAGAAACCACAAAGTGCTTTATATTCCAGACAGGGAAATATGGATTAAATGTTCTAGTCATTTTTATGTGATAACATTTTCTATAAATTCATTTAAGCAGTAAATAAAAGAGTTCACCAATCCAAATCTTCTTTTAATTTACTTTCTTTATGACAGGGAGTAATATATTCATATATTGATTATAGAAGATTGACATGAAAGTAGGGAGAGAGAAGGGATGACACACAGCAAAGGGCCACACGTCGGACTCTCACCCATGGCCACTGCAGCAAGGACTCAGCTTTGGTACATGGAGCGCCAGCTCTACCAGGTGAGTTACAGGGCACCCCACAGGGGAGTAAAATCCACTGGTGTTTCTGCTATACTGCCAATAAGAGCATTTAGCTTTTGGAATTGAGTCTTTTTAACCTGCTGCCAACATAAAGTGTCCAACAAGTTTATATCTATTGCTAGCTACCGTTGATAAGAAACTGATTTTCAGTTACCATGTCCATTTTTGGTATATTCCTGTAAATTAGCAAACAAAAATGGACATTATTAAAAAAATCCAACATATAATCTATGACAGTAATGAAAAAAAGCATAAATAAGTCCTGCTTATTGATTTGTAGTATTGCCCTCATTGGTCTCGTTTAACTGGAAATATTAAAGTGATATTTCCTACAGTCGTAACTGCATAACAACATCTGTATCAACTGACAAATCTTGACTGTCTTATATTGTCAGGTTGATGCAGGATGTGCTTAAATGGACAGATCTATCTACTTTCCTTACACTGATTGGTTTATCTTTGATTGGACATTTCCACTGTTCCATTATTTATGGCCACAAGAACTGTTTAGTTTTCGCAATTTTTATCTTAGATTAAGTTATGAGACCAATCTAATGTTAAACAGCTTTGACACAGTAATTACTACATTTCTAAATTTCACACTTGCAAAAATGCATATCCTAATTTATCATGGGAGATACAAACTATCATATTTTATATCTAAAAACCAATCAGTCGAAATAAAAATAAAAAGGTTATTGAGGCCCGACTGGGGGAAAAACAAGGGGGAAATTATCTTATGGTTTTGTCCATTTAGGGGTTGGAATGCTGGTAAACTAAGGGATGGATATTTCTTTGTAGGATTGTTCTCAGTAGCTGCTATACGCAATAAATCTTAACTGGAGTATAAATACCCACAAGCTTTTCATTTTCATTCAAAATACACCTGTGTACAAGCCAGCTGTATTTATAAAAAGCCAAGCAGATATAAAAAGGGCATTGAGTGTACACATCACAATATTTATAGTTGTCAAAGCATTCTGACCTCATGGTCCACGTAATACAGTAGTTGTTCTGGAGCTTTCAATCATATCACTTGATCAGCAGATGGAGTTTACCCAGTTATCATGGAAATAATCGTGTTGATAATAATGACAATAATATTTATATTTTTTGTGCAATACACTAATGTGGTAAATCATTGATAAAGTCTGTATCTCTAATTGATCTCCTCTATTAAAGCTGTATTAATCACAAAAGAGAAGATGTAGACAAAGAGAAGCAGATGAGTTAGGGAAGGGCTTAGAAACTTTTAAACAAGTGAGAAGTGAATTGTTGTGCAATAGGGACTGTAACTCAATATCAGGAAGATGTTCCCATGGTTTTATACAATGGGAACATTGTACAATAGGGAGTTATGTACCTTTGTGTACGAATAAAAAAAAACCCAAAACATATTGATTCAAATGAATACGTTAACAGAGCCAAAGTGGGGCAACCCTGAGTGACGTATTGGACCTTTACAGACAGCCAGTCACATTAGATTAGATCTTAGGAGGGGAGTGGATGAGGAAAGACTGGAGGGAGCAGATCTTGGAACAGAGTTGCAGCTATTTCCCCTGTATGTCAGGGCCAGACCTCCACAACCACCAGATGTTTACCACCAACCCAGCTGCTTTCTCTCTCCCCTTCTTTCTCCCCATCTCTCCCTCTCAGATTTTTTTCTCTCTGAGGCCCTTTAAAGCAAGCCCTCCCTGTAATCATGCACACTCAGTTCACCAGAGGTCTTTGAAGTAAGTGGAATGTGTCCAGCCATATGATAGTATGTACTGTATATTCTTATAGCACAGAGAAAGCAAAGCAGAGAAAGCGGGAAAAGAGACTGTTGGATTGCTGCCAGCCCCTCTGTGTGGTTTTCTAGATGTTAATTATGCCTTCGCTCCGCTCTTACATGCACGTGTGTGTTTATGTATGCAATTATGTGTGTATGTTGTGTCTACATGAGCGCGTGTGTGCATATGTTCGCTGAAATGACACCAGGTGACAGATGATAACGGGCGTCTGGCAGCAGAGAAGACTTAGGATGGAACATGATGGTGCGTGCGTGCCTTTCTGTGTTGGTGTGTGTGTGTGTGTGTGTGTGTGTGCGTGCGCATGTAAGCTACTTCCTCCCATAGATGTGAGGATGGAATTTGGCTCATCATGAGTTCAAAGGAGTCAACCCCAAAGCCTTCTGCACACCAACAAGAACAGACATGCCCCCCTCTCTCGCTCTCTCTCTCTGTCTGTCTGTCTCTCTCTCTCTGTGTCTTTGTCTCTTTGTCAACCTCTCTCTACCTCTCTACTCCCCTACCCCCCCATTCTCTCTTTTCTTAGAGTTCTGTAAGGCAGCTGGTTGGACCATCAAACACTCACTTCACCTGTTTCTGTGGTGTGTGTGTCTATGTGTGTGTGTCTGTGTTTTTGTATGTGCATGCCCTTAATTGTGCATCTAATTGAAGTAGATAGGGGCTTATATGTGTGTGTACATGTGCCTGGAAAAAGGAAGGAAAAGATGCTAGATGTGATCAACCCCATCATGTCTTTACAATAAAACATTACAATAAAAACACATAATAACATTATTCTCCGCTTTACATTATGTTACATTACATTACATTACATTACATCGCATTATATTCTCTCTTTAAATGATAAATGGGTTGAAAATGATCAGGAACATTCACATTTAAACAGTGTTGAAACTACGAATTAAGAGTAAATTATACACCAGTTTTTAAAGCTTTAATGAACTGGAAATACACACAATGAACCATTATGTTGCATAAGTGATTGATAGAGTGTTGAAAAAAGACATGGGGGCGGGGGAGAACAAATGTCTGTACTTAATCAATCTATCTAACAGTGGAGACATTTCACAAAAATGCTGATGGCAATCAGTCCAACATTTACAGAGATATTTCAGTCTGGACTGACCAACAGACAAACTGACTCACCATCCTTACTATCCATAGTGCTACACTGTTAGTTATGTGTGTGGTCTATATAAGGTGGCTTAAAATGTTTGGTATTGAGATTTGGTATTTTATTTGGTATGTCTGGTATGCCTGGAATAAACAGAACATTTGATTCAAAATCTGTCTGTGCCCAAGCACATCTCTCTGTCTCTCTTTGATAAGATGAATTGCTTCCAGTTGCTTCCTCGCTCCTTTCAAGACTTTTCCAGGCAGCTTTATCCAAAGCTCATGTTTCTGGTATCACTGGTATGTCTGCAACAAGCATAACACTCCGCCTGATTCAAAACCCTTCAGTGTTCAGACACATCTTTCTGTCTCCATCTTTTTCTCTTTAATGAGATGAATTGGTTCCAGTTGCTCCCTCGTTCTTTTCAGGGGGTTTTCCAGTCAACCTTATTTAAAGCACCATTTTCTAGGAAGATCTGAGTTTGTTCCAGCTCTGCCAATCATCCCATGTGTTTCTACTTACAGAACACCTTCCAGTCATGACATCAAACTGACCGTGTCACACCACCATACGGTGGTGGGTGTTGGCAATCATGGCAGTGGAATGCCCATGACTCAAAGAGGTGGGACTGCGATCTGGTTGGGTAATTGCTTTGTCCCTGACATTTGTGGAAAACAAGCAGAGTGCCATTTTAAACAATGACAAGTCAACTCTGACCTTCGATGGGAGGCAAATTGCTTATGTACAAATCACAACATGGTGGCATGCCAACTATTACACCATTCCCAGGACAATCCTTGTATTCAGAACAATAAATCCCCAACAGAAACTCCTGCCTACAATCATGCTTGGTTTGCCATGAAGTACTTCCCAGAGAAAAGATGCAGCAGACGGCCTTTTAAGTCCTACATAAACAAATGAATTTCATGTAGGATTGAATCTACACTGGCAAAAATAAGTGTGGGAACCAAAACATCTGACGGCTTCCTCCCAAAATCTGTTGAGGTATGGAACCTGAAATTCATTAATCCAAAGGTCAAAAACATAGATGATCACGACCTTAAATGTCAGACTATTTTATATGTACTACTACTGATTTGGTGATTTCCTAAATTTTCTTCTGGTGCCACGATCAGATGGACTGCCATTAAATTAGGTACATTTACCCATGGCGCCCAGAGGATGAATCATTATGACTTTGGGGATTCACTTACTTTTCCTTTAGTGCCCCCAGCAAGTCAAATTTTTAACTTATCCTGTGAAATATTTCAACATCTACTGCATGGATTGGCAAAATATACGGTACAGACGTTCATGGTTCCCAGATGATGATTTCTAATGACTCTGGTGGTCTCTTATGTCACCCTTAGGTTGACTTTGTTTTTTTTAGTCAAATATCTCAGGATATCTCAGGATTGATTTGATTACCATGAAATTTGGTTTTGACATTCATTCAATAACAGGTTTTTAATGCTAATACATGAAAACTGGTAAAAAGAAAATTCTACATGCTTAACATCAGAATGTCTGCATTGTCATTATGAGCAAGCTGCTAGCAGAGCTAACTCTTCTTATGTACAAGAACTTTACCTGATAAGGGTCTGAGGACAGAAAAGCCCTTAATAAAGTGAGTAAGTCATTGATTTGTTGCAGGAGTAGGTATTGATTATGTCGGATACATTTTTGCATTAAAGAGCTTTGGCATTGGCTTGCCCTGCCCCATCCATGTCATGAGGAAGAATAGGACAATGGTGCCAGATGGTAAGACTTGGCTCTTGCTGGGTCTGGACACACACCACTGCCCAGTAAGGTTACTGGTAGCAAGTAGTGTATGAGAGGTATCCAATGGCAACTGCTCCAAGGTAGGAGTAATAGCACCGAGACCTAGGCAACACTGCTGTCATGGCGAGGGCAAACACCAGCAAAGATGTCACTGGAAGCTCGATGGAGAGGGTGAAGGCCATTAGAGAAAGGTAACCAGTTGTACCTGGCTGTAACCAGTATCAGTATGCACCCCACTTCAGGGTACTAGAGTGGATCCACTTGGAAAGTTACACAATTTAATTGTACAACATGACCTGGACTATGATATCTATTTGACTAGGTAAAATCCAATGACTGAGTGAGTCTCAGACTGTGGAGTCACTGACTGCTGTTAGCTTGGGAATCTCCTGCCAAAAGCACAATCAACAATGTGCCACATTCACCAGACACTTCCTGTTTTGGTCCATGTTTGTCATGACAACAGTGACGCCAGCAGTCAGCCACGGTGATTCAGTACAGAGCTGCTTACGTCATGTATGCCAGTCACAATCCAAGCCATGTGGGCCTGAGAACTCTTAATGGACTGAACTGGCATCAAATAATTTCCTGCACTTGAGGAGAAAACAAACTCCATGAACCTTTTAGTGCCCCTGCGTAAATTTCAAATGGGAAGTTGTTTAAAGAACAACAGATTGCATTTGAAGTTCGGGTTAATGCTGATTAAAACACATTATAACATGGAAAGTATGTTCAACAAGTAGAAATAGCAAATAAGGTCAGGATCCCAGACAGGACACTCAGCAGTTGAAAAGACTGTAAAGTACACTCTACTGAGCACCAGTGCAGAAAAACACACTTACAGTACACAGTGTGTGTACACAAGGAGGGAATGATGACGAACGTGTGCGTGTGAAAGAGATGTTTGTGTGTCTGAGGGGAAAGGAGGAGGGTGTATGTGCATAACTGTAAGGAATCCTCAAGGGGAATTAATATTCTTGAATCATCTTTATTTAAACTTTTAAACTTCAGACAAAAGCAACAAATAACAGGGCAAAATAAAGGAAGGGAGAAAGAAAGAAAGAAAGAAAGAAAGAAAGAAAGAAAGAAAGAGGGAAAGAAAGAAAGTGGGGAAAGCATAACAATATTTATAAAAGAAAACGACAACCAATGTGGGTGTCTTGCTGTGTATGTGT